ATCTCTTATCAATAGCTGGAATGCATCTTCAGAGCTGAGTCACTGTGAAATTAGCTTCCTAGGCTTCCATGTTATACATATCGCTCACTGAAAGAATAGAATGCTTTGATCTGTTTATCAAAAGCCTGCCTTTTGTTTTCTTCCAGAGAATAAAGAACAGTTGGCTGCTGTACCAAAACTTTTCATGTTTTTTATTTGATGAGATAAAGTGTTCATGAAAACTTGAGCAAGTCATTGGTTAGCGCTGAACTGCCTCAGTAAAGTACAGTCATGTTATGAGGATTGTGAGTTCCTTATGAGCATCCTATTTGGGGCTGGAGATGCAACGGAAGCACTCGGCACCTCATGTCCTGAATTTTTGCTAGACAGGCTTTTTTCCAATTAGCAAACACAATTTCAAGAGGAAGGGAAGGAAGATGAGAAGGTCTTAGGCTAATTCTCATCCTGATCTCTCCATTCTCTTCATGTCCCCTCTGAAAACTTTCCCAACCTAGGAAAGCAGCCGGTGCAGTTCTTTTTGTACAGGCTGCAATGGGGAAGGAGGAAGTGCTTTAATCCCCAACTCTAAGCTCAGAGTGCCATTAGCAGCTTTGGATCTGGGAATCTAAAGTATCCTATGACCTCTTAAACTCTGTCCAGAGGCCATAGGTTTTTATCACTCTATGTCATAAAATATTACACAGCAATGTTAAAATGTGTGCTATTGTAGCAGTGATAGGCTATGTTTCTATTTATTATTTGATATATATCCTGCCATGTTTTTTACAAAAAATTCAAAGTGGCTTATATCAATTTCCTCCTGCTGCTCTCAATCTTAACCCCACAACTGTATCCTGCACCCCTAGAAAATGTCCACACCCCCTGCAAAAGTAATACCACATTTGAAGATGAAGAAGTCCAATCTGAACCACAAATTGAAATACTGCAGGTGGACATATGGAATTCAAAATAAGCTTTTAACTCAGTGCTTGCTGTTTGCAACCCACAAGTCTGCCTGTAGATTCAGGCAATTCCTAGATTTTGTCTTGATTGACAAAAGAGAACTGAATCTAAATGCAAACAAAATAATAATTTTACTATTGTGGTAATTTTTGGCAAAAAGTGTTGCAAATCACAAAGCAGCCTTTCTCTTTGTTGTACCCTCTGAAATGCCATCTTGCATCCCCTGCAGGTGTGGACACCCCAGGCTGGGAACCCCTGGAGTACATAGTTTTTCCACTTGGTAATACTTAGGTGCACTGTGCTTGTAAATAATTGCATACTGCTTGTCAAGGACTGAGAAGAATACAAACACCCAGTCTCACATTGCTCTATAACTACTGTGGGAAAGTTCCATATGGTTCCATAAGGCACCAGTGATGGGGGGACTCCATGTCTTCCAGATGCATACGACCCATGTGCCAGCTATCTAAAAGGTCCTAATTTGTACTGAATTTTCTCATCCGCTCAGAGGGCCTTTGGGCTGAAAGTCCAAAAATAAATAAAAAACTTTGTTTTGGTATCCACAGATAAAATGTGATTCAAGAGATAAGAAGCATCTTTGCAGCTATTGGCCAGAATGACAAGTATTGCATGGTTTACAGTCTACCTTGTCATGGTCTTCTTCAGAGAACTCTGGGAATTGTGGTTTGCAATGATGCCAAGGAATCTCAAAAGAAATGGAGTGCATCGCGGGTAGTACAAACATGAGGAACAGCCTCTTGTGGAGAGAGATCCCTGTCTTCCAGGTCATACATTGCCTAGGCTGACCATGTGGCATACTTTACAGTGGGCTGTCCTCTGCTTGAAGGTGTCCATTATTGGTAGGGCTGTCCAGTCTAAGTTTGGAGTAAAAGAACCAGAAGGAGGGAGAGTGAGCAGGGGCCTTGAAGCTGCCCATCAACAGCAGACTGGACAAGGCATATGGGTCACTGGTCACAGCCTTCCCCATTGTGGTGAGATGCAGTGGACATTCATTCATTCATTTGGAGAGCACTTCTCTCCAAATTTGCAACTATCATATACATTAGCATACACAAATTTCTTGTGTGTATTGGTCTGTTGTGGGGGCACTAATAGCTTTCTTTTTTGGGGGCAATTTTTGGTAGGGAAGAATATTTTCTTTACCCTCCATTCAGTTGGTTTCATTGTTTTATTAAAGGGTTAAACAGAAGACAGGTAAAATGAGTAATACTGTGTTTGTATTACTGTAATACTGTTTGTAAACTGAAACGAACACTGTGAATGTTTCAGCTGTGACCAAATTACAAGGGTGGGAAAATTTTGCCCTGCTCACCACCTGCTGATTACTGCTGTCTTGGAGTATTAGCACATGGAGTAAGAAAAAGGAAAGTGGTTTCGAGGGATAAATTAATGAAAGGTTGTCCCTGTCATTTTCTGCTAGGATGCATGATTCAAACCTGGCTTACTTTTATTGGTATGACTGTGGTGTGCTATGTAATATTTACAATATTTATTTAAATTATGAAGAGAATGGAAGATTTAAAGGACAGGCTGTTTGTAAATAATACCTATAAATGGCTTCTCCTACAAATTCTCTCTCCCTGCCACAGAATTTATGGGACATCCATAAATCTTTGCTGAAAGCCATGCATCTCAGCAACCGCCACCAAGCCCATGCCATTGTGAAATCGATGGAATGCGTTGTGACACCTGTCTTCGGGAGACTTCCCACTTGTGTCATCTTTGGCTCGGATAGCTATCCTGCAAATTTGCAATAGCTGTGAACTTTTGAACTGTGCACTTTCATCATTCACTCATCAGAATAAAATTTAAATTCTTACAGCAGATATCTTGTCTGAATCACTGGAGCTAAACACTTTGCTGACATCCCCATCCTAGTCACAAGCTGTGGGAATGGAATAGTGGTCTATAATTTTAAAATCCATCAGAGCTTTCTTGTTGGGGCTGCCAAGTAGATTCAAGTCACTGAGCCACCGTTTGCCCATGAGATGTGGATTTACGGTCCTGCCCTCTCGGTTCCACCAAACAATTCATGCACCGCGGAGAGGCTTGATTTAAAGCACACTTGTTTGTTCCTTTGATTTCACTGTTACATTGGCTGCCATGCATTTGAATGGCAGCTCAGTGCAAACACCTGAGACACTGCCTCTTCCGTCCTTCGGCCTCCCGTGGAAACACAATGGCGGTTGGTGAGGCAGTTCACCAACAAGTGCAGGGCCGCTTCATTTGCACAGTAACTAAAGGGAACTGTGGGCCCTGATTTTTCTCCGCCCAGCCCTCTTTTTTCTCAAAGAGGTTAACAAAGTTTACAATTTTATCTTTAGAAGGCCTGCAAACTGGATGAATTGTCCCTGCTACTTTGTTGGCACCTCCCAAAGTTTAGGCCAGGGGAAGTCAGTGATCTTACTGGAGGGTATTGTGAGGCAGTGGGCATGGACACAGCAAAAGGCAGGCCAGTGTGGTGTAGTGGGTAAGTGCACAGGATTGGGACTCAGGTGATTTGCTTTCTAGTCCCCACTCAGCAGTAGAGGCTACTGGGTGATTTCAGGCCAGTCGCAGGCTCTCAGCCCAACCTACCTCACAGGGCTCTTGTGGGGCAAGCTTGAGAGCGGGAAGATGAGAATGTTGTAAGCCACTCTTGAGTTCTTTAAAGAAAAAAGGTGGGATATAAATCTAATAAATATATAAGACAGCACTGTATGGATGTGTTGCTACTGATGGCCCAGAAGCAAGTTTCTGGGCACAATTCCAAGTGCTGGTTATGAGCTATCAAGCCCTAAACAACCAGGAACCAGGTTGCCTGAAAGACTGTATGCTCTCATGCGAGCCTGTTCAGACTTTAAGGTCTTCCAGAGAGGCTGCTTCCTCTGTCCTTTCACCATCAGAGGCACATCTGCTGCGTACCTGAGAGAGGGCTTTCTTGGTGGGACTCCCAGCCATAGAGAGCGAAGTTCCCTGCCATCCTTTCACCAGCAGGCCAAGGTATTTTGGTACCAGCCACCCTTTGAGATGTAAACTGGCCTGTTGGAAGTAGGTTCTACTGAGTTGGGTGCCCTTTTTATTTCTGTTATTGTGTTCTGTGTGCTTAATCTATTTGTTTTAGCTACACTTATTTTAATCTTGGTATTACTGTGTCTAGCCACTTTGTGCACCAGGTTGGCAGAACAATGAGATATAAAGCAAATAAATACATATATAAAACTGCTTGGTGTGGATCACTGATGTCCTGAGTCCAGACCTGTGCTGGGCAGTCAGGAGCTGTACATCTGAAGAACATGGATTTTGGGATCCCCATCGTGGAACATGCACCTGTAAAGATGTTGATGTTCACATTCTTGTTAGTTACTGTTCAGCAGCAGCCCAGCCCATCTCTTACTAGCAGTCTTTCTCAGCAACAGCTGAAAGTGGGTGTTCATGGTCCTCAACCCCAGAAAAATCCTTGAGTTTGAGCCAACCTCTGGAGCACACCAGTCTGGTCACAGCCGGACCTATATCTTCCTGCTTTGAATGTTACATCACATGGCTGGAGTCAAAGAAGTGTCTCCATCTGTTCAGGCCGTGACACCTTACAGACTGGCAGAAGGCAAATCCTATTTTAAGTAATGTAAAAAGTTTGGTAGGCTAATGTGAAAAATCGGACAGATGAAGCTGAAATGTATATGAATAAGAGGAATATGGATCCAAGAGAGCTTCAGTAATTGGGTGTTATAGTCATTAGTAATACATACAAATGTATTGATACATGTACAATATAAAGGCAGCATGAGCTAAGTGGAGTGTTGTTAACAACATGAATGTAAGTTGATACATTGATTAGGTTTTAAGAGAGAAGTATTAAGGGTTTTATGACCTATGACATCTCAGAAAGGTCCTTTATATTGAACATGAAGATCATCTTCAGTCACATATAGATAATCTAAGTATAAAATTCAGGATTTACTTTACATGGATTTGTTGATGTGTGTGTTTATAAAACACTGTATTAAAACATTTTCTTCCCTCTCGTTCTCTCTCTTCACTTCCTGAAATATCCCAAGTGTGGGAAATTTGCAGTCCTGGTGGATTTCCGCATTATACCACAAGACTCCAATAAGTGTCCAGCGTGGTTTTCTGAATGTAAGAGAGAGGTAAGACTCAATCATTTGTACTTGAAAAGCATTAGAGAGGTGGGCTGGGGGTCACAGGATTGCATTGGCTTCTTCCGTCTGTGAGTGTCCCATGCACTTACGCCTGGCTGCAATTGATCGCGGCATGCAAATGTTCCATTTGGGGCCTTATCTCCATGTATACCATTCAAGGTTTTTATTACTCTGTCAGTTGGAGTGCCGCACTATTTATAATTGATTTCAGATAAGAAGACAGTGCTTGAGTGTGTGCTCATTGTCTTATGGATCAGCTTCGGCTGCATTTGTGGAATAGCATTTAGTGTTGCTGCGATAATGAACCATCTTTTCGCCGCCGTTCCTCGCAGTTGCAAAATTGTGTCTGTCTCACTGATTTGTCTCTGGCGCAGCTGCCCACAGGCCAACATACGTGGAGGGCAGGGGGGCAAGATGGGAATCGTTTGAATTTTTAATTTCGCCTGTGCAAAGATAAGGGATGCCTATTTATGAAAGCATTCAGATCCTGTTTTTCATTTAGAAAGAAGATGAGCAAGCAGCATGATTTAGTAGTAGCAGCAGCTGCAGCAGCAGCAGCAATATTATTATTAATATCCCTAGTAAAATATCCCTTCTGCTTTCCCCTGTCTACTTCCTTTATTTTCTGCGTCTAGGGTTTGGAGGCTTTGTGTGCCTTTGTTTTGATTTATGCATATAAAATGTATTATAAAAAGAATTGATTGAGTAGGCCACTCCTGACCTCAGATGTAACATACTTCTGATATATCATCAAATAGTTTCTATTCTCTCTCCTTGTTTAGTTACATTTATTTACTCATTAATTCTATTTATGCATCACCAACGCTCTCAGGACACTGTAAAAGCAGGAACAGCACAACTAAAGATAGAAACCTATAATAAAATAAATTTAAAAGTATTATTTTTCAAGCAGCATCAACAATTTGGAACATTATTTTAAAATGCAGTAGTGTACACATTCAGCATACAGCAAACAGTAGTTGAAAAGCACTAGGTGAATAAAATGGTCTTTTCTTGGTGCCGAAAGGTAAACAAAATAGATGGCAGGAGGACTACTGTAGGGGTGGGCATGCCACAATTTGGGGGTGAGACCAAAGAAGAGACCTGCTCATAAGGAGCTACCCACAAAATCCCTGTGTGAGGAGTACTTAGAACAAATCCTTAGATGATGATCTCGGGGCACAAGTAGGAACACATGGAAAGAGGTGGTACTTTAGATACTGTGACCCCAAACTATGGATGGCTTTGTAGGTTAACATCAACACCCTGAGTTTTGGTCAGAAACAGTGAAGATGATATCATACTGGCCTAATATGGTCATCACTCCCAGTTCCAGTCATTACCCTAAATGCCATATTTTGTAACTACCTGAAGCTCCCATACTGTCGTCAGGGAAAGCCCCACATACAGCACCTTGCTGTAATCTAACCAGGAGGTTACCAGGACTTGGATCATTGAGCCCAGCCTGTCACGAACCTGGCAGGGTCATAGCTGGCGTACCGGCCTAAGCTGGTAGAGTTGCTCCAAGTCATAGAATGCACTCGCTCCTCTAGGGACAGAGCTAGATCTACAAGCACTACTAATGGATAGACCTGGCATTCTAGAGGGAGTGCAACTCTTCTAGAACAGGGTGAACTCATTCACCTGGAAAGCTGAACAATCCAATAGCAAGAAATCCATCCTATCTGGACTGGGTTTCCATCTATTGGCTGTCATCCAGTTTGTTACAGTGGCCGGCAGGCACTGACTGAGTGCTTCTGTTGCCTCATGAGCCTTGTCATCATATATGATGTCATTGAATTTTAATGCTCTGAATAGTCTGTGCTCAGCAGTTTTATGTAGATGTTCAATAATGTGGGGACAAGGTGAAATTTTGGAGGAGCCTAAAGCATAAATGCCAGGGAGTTGAACTTCCCTCAATGCCACCTTCTGAAAACAGCCATCTCAGTAGGAACAGAAGCTCTCGCAACCACAGCCATCTCAGATCATTACCATGGAAAGTTACCATGGTGTCAAAAGACACTGAGAGGTCCAGGAGGATCAATGGGGTTGCCCTGCCCCATCTCTCTTGCTCTCTGGCAAAGATAATCACACAGGGAGGCCAAGGCAGCTTACCTATAGGAATTCAGATCTTCTGGACTGAAGGATATTTTTTTTTCAGTAGTGGCATCACCCATAGCTCCTTTAAGGAGGCTCAGACCACTCTGTCCAATTAGGGAGACATTTATATCCTCTAGAGTCCAGCCAGTCATCCCCTCCCAGTTGGATATAATAAGTTACAAGGGGCAAGAGTTGGGCAGACAGGCAGTTGAGTGAACCTTACTAAGCACCTTGCCCATATCCACAGGTCCTAAAACTAAAACTCTTCCAGCAATACCTTTCTTACTCACCTGACACCCCCCCCCCCCATTTTCCTAAATACCTTAAGTGTAAATATCTTGGCAGCCCTGTTGGATTAATAGAAAGGGCCTCATTAAAATGGCTAATCTGTGGAAAAGCAATAAGACTCTTAAAAATAAGTTCTGTAGACTAAAAGATTGATTTCAAATCTGGTTTAGGATTGCATCCTTCGTTTGTTTTCTTGTTTGTAAGAATGTATGTCCTTACAATCAACACATTTCTCTATAGAATAAGTAAATGTATGAGTTCATTTCTCAGAGTTAGTAGAATGCATTTAAATCTACCTGAAAACAAATTCTCCTCCAGGAAATCTGCATGCTGCTAAAAGATGCCATTGATTCGCGAGTGAAACAATACCTCAGAGCTCGTAAAAGGCATGGCCAGTTGAAGGAGATGGAATATACAGAAGCAAACCCTTTGTTTCTGAAAGGTAAGAGCTGCTTATAAAAATAAACACACTGATTTCATCATAAGTGGCTTCTATGTTCTTAATCTTTTGAGCATCAACCCGTTTCTTTACATAGTTTGCTATCAGTCAGGCGTACCTTGGAAAAAGCCAAAAATTATGAAACATTTTATTATTTGGGGGTCAGGCCAGGGTTAGGCTTTCTACCAACTCGCCTACCATTGACTGGAGTTTTGCAGAACGATTCAAGGTAAAGACAAATGATCTCATGATACATGAAACCTTAAGAGTAGGCATTGGACCTGCCCTAAAAGAGAGAGGAATTAGAGGAAAAATAAAGAAGAATTAAGTTGCTGCCTTCCGCTCACATGGCCCTTTATTAGCTTGCCCAAGCCTCATAAATTTCTGAGGATGAAAATGCCATACAACATGAAGGCAACTGGGTTGACTTTATTTATGATTACATTTATAACCTGCCTGTTTCCTCTTGCAAGGAACCCATGATGGCTTGCAAAGATCCAAGTGAGTTTTCTTAATCCTCAGAACAACCTTGTGAGGTGGGTCGGACTGAGATTCGGTGACTGGCCCAAAGTTACTGGGTGAGCTCTGTGGCTGAGTAGGACAGATCTCCTGGCTCCCAGTCCAGCCTTCCAACCACCAGGCTGCACTGGCTCTCACACTGTTTGCTTAAGAAGAGCCAAGCCACAAGTTGCCTGCTGCTGTTCTAAAGCGTTTTGATTAGCTGTCAGTGGATCTTGCACTAAGGGCGAGGAGTGGCGCATGGCTGTACTTCCTGAGCTCCCTTTCTGGAGCGTCTTGACCAGCTTGGTTTTTAAAAGGCAGCCTCACCATCATCCAGAAGGCCTGGGTTCCCCACACTGCACTTGGAGCCCCTTCTACACTCATATGAAGTGATGGGCACAAGAGATAGTGGCAACCTCGCTTCTGTTGGAAGATGACATTAGCTTCCTCCTTTTTGACTTTTAGATGGCCCCTAAAAACTTTTTCATATGGCAGATTGCTTGCTCTTAATTGAGAATAGAGATTGTTTGCATTTGTTCTTTATTCGTTCTTTAAAGTATGGCTGAATAGCTGGCTAAATTAGAATTGAATAATATGATTATATTGGGGGGCACTTCTTATTACCCTTATTTAGTTTTATTATATCTATTAGTCTGCCTTGGGGGATTGTTGTATTCAAAGAGGTGGCATTCCATAAATAATTAAATAGTTGAGCATCTGTTCTGTGTTTTATGGGCTCACAAACATATCCTTCAAAAAAGGAGTTTGGGCAATGTTTTGGTTTCATCGAGTGAAGGCAGAAATGCTTCACTGAAATTTGTTTGTTTATTAGATTTTTATACCCTGCCCCATTAGCCGTAAGGTTCCCTGGACAGGAGTAGTACAGATGGGAGATCTGCCTAGCTTGGGAGATCTTCAGAAAATAGGTATACCATCATTTTCACTGATTTCGTGGCACACAGCTTCCATATAAGAACATAAGAAGTCCTGCTGGATCACAGCCAAGGTCCGTCTAGTCCAGTGCTCTGTACTCATAGTGGCAAACCAGCTGCACACAGGATCCCTGAAGCAGGATGGGTGCAGCATGAATTGTGGAGAGGGGGGTGGAGTTATGCCTGCTTCCACGGCCATGCTTCTAGACGCTTGCATTTACTGTTCCATCATTCAGCCCAGCTGACAAGGAGTGTTCAAGACTGAACAGCAGCTAAACGTTAGATGCAGATTTTTTTTTGCTCCTGCAGTTGTGGTCCAGTACGATCTCAGCCCCAACCCTAACCCTGACCCTTTCTACATTTTTCACGAGGGCATTCAAACTATCTAGACTTTTGAAGTGAAACATATCCATGAATGTTTTCCAGCATTGGGGCTTAAATAACAAAAGAGATGGCTTGACATGGTAAAAAGAGAGAAGTACTGTAAAACTGCCAGCACTGGAAAAAAGAACTGAAAAGGAAGCATAACTTCCTTCCCTCTAAACATTTGGTTTGATATTTAATAGCACAAACTTTTCCATTTTCCTTAAGTAAATTTTAACTGCAAACAAATGACCCACAGGTGGAAGTAAGGTTTGGTATAGATTCACACGCCGTTTCTAGAACTGGATGAAACTGTCTTCCACCTGTATCCCGTTTGTTTGCAGATTAACCTAACATAAAGTCTCAACTTTTTGAATTATTTCTCAGCAATCAGTGAGTTTTGATCTTTATAGTTCAGGCTGGAAAAAATCCAGGCCCCTATGGGCTGATCCTTACCACACTAGAATGAAGGCATGGGACCATATATGGAGGTCATAAACAGCCACACTTTTATGGAAAACTGACCGAGATCATTAATGAGCAGAATGCTCTCAAAACATAGTTCTGAAACTGAGCAGTCTGGCCTCTCCCGCCTCTCTACCTTAATGTGCATGAAATCACCCTGGCTCCCAGTGCTAGACCAGTAAGATAGCCAACGGATTCCTTTTTTGTGCCAGCAAAGCACCTAATGGCTTCTCCTCGACCCAGCTGGATAATCTTAGTTTAGAATAGGCTGCCAAAGCAGCAAGATAGCTCCCTTCCCAAATACAGTCCTGCCAAACAGCTGTGAAAAGCAGTTGGGTGGGCAGTCCTTCTTGATCCAGCACCCTCAAGAGCACTCGCCAGCTTCTCTATCCCCCATGGACCGCTCAGAACCTGCCTTTGGGGATAGGGCCTGTCCATGCCTGTTATTGTGCTTCTCCGTTGAAGTGCCATGCCTAGATGGAGCTACAGAAAATAATAGGAATCAGCAGTGTGGTTTGGAATTCCCCGAATCAGAGCCCCAAGACTTTATTAGCAGGGAATGACACCATTGTACTCTGCCACCTCAGACTTCCGTATTACCTCTGGGTTGACCTGCAGTCCTCATATTGGAAATCTTCACATGGATTTTCCCAGTAGCAATATGTTGTTGAGCTATCCTATGTCCCATAATTAATGCAGATATGATCTACATCTATAGATCAACACAGCTGCTTGCCTTTTTGGACTCTCCTTACGGGTGTGGCTACACAATGATGATGGTGATGGTGGTGGTGGTGGTTATGATGGGAGGAAGAGGAAGAAGAGCATACAGCAGGAGTTATCATTGTCCTTCTTTGGACTGCATGGATGCCAGCCCAACAGCTTGGAAGCTGGGGTAACAACTGGATTTGTTTTACCATCCAGAGCTTAAGCCCTAGTTCTTATAAACAGCAGAAGAGGTGGTAAAGCTGTGGGTGGACTGTACCACTTCAGACTAACCATGCAACACCCCCTGCTGCCGCCACCCATCTAAAACACTAAGCATTGAGAAGGCTTCTTGCCTGGCCTTCTCCCTGACATGCCACTTCTTCATGTGGATGGATTTTTGGTTCTGTATGGAGCAGTATCCTGCTCAGTTGCATGCAGGCCTCCTAATCTGAAGGGACCCATTCCAGACACAGGTTTGCTATCTCATCTCTCCTAGTTTGGGAGAAAGAGGGGAGGCAAGGAGAGCAGAATGTCTCAGGGCATGAGCTCTCTGTCCTGGGACGGGATGGCAGAAAGGATGCTCTGACACTTCTTTCAAGTCCTGCAGGAAGTCTTTGGCCTGGATTTCTTTTCTTCGGTCTCCCTGGGGCTGCACAGGAGAGGCTGTCCCATCTGAATTATCTCATGCCCTCAGTGTCCCCTAGTATCAACACTCTGCCAAGCTAGTTTTGCAGAGTAAAGTAGCCTTTAAGTAATATTGGAGCAGAGCCACCTTATAGGCTGACTCAGCAACCGTGTTCTTGCTCAACTGGCTGACCAGAGTCCCAGTGCTTTCATGTGGTCTCATCTGGGACTACAGTATATGCATTGGGAGGGTGGGAGTGAGGGAACTGGTGGTAGCAGCTCCCACGTGCAGCACTGGGGGACAGGTGCCCAGGAGGAGGCCTGGTGCTGGGGACGGAGAGAGGAGGGATGAGCTGAGGTTTCATCTTGGCTGGAAGGTGGAGATTTGGAAGCAGTGGGGTAGTGGCCAAGTTGCCAGCCCTTCTGACTCAGCTGGCGCCTTCTAGGCGTGTGGTACAATGTCATCTTGTGCCTAATTCATCAATTAAATTTTGTTACGGGTATGTACAGTCTAGTGTTTACTGCTATCCATGGTTTCAGGTATCCACTGCAGGGCTTGGAACCTATCTTTGTGGACATGGGGGTTCTGTTGCATACAGAAGTGCATCCATCTGCTCAGTTGGCCAGATAATGCCTTGCCTAGAAGCTTGTACATTACTTCTGAATTCTGAAGACTCTTCCTAAATCCTCTTTATGTTAAAACTATCAGCTTCCTCTTGTCCATCGCAGTGTATTTCCAATTAAAAGGACCCTGGTGCTGTCATCTTTGAGGTTGGGTCAATAACTGGTCTAACTCAGCCGCTCGCATCCTTCTGCCACCACACATTTTGAACTATCCCAGAGTTTCTGGCTATGAGCAGGCCAGCTAGAGGTAATAGGGGTTGACGTCCAAAATTTTGGGAGGGCATCAGGTTGGGAAAGGCCAGATCTGTCTTGTGACCACGTTTGAATGTGCAAGACATGAAGCTGTGCTCGGTGGTCATGGACCCACTCACATCACGTACTTTCTGCTCTTTATGCAGCAAGGGTTGAGCTGGAATTTCTCAAGTTTTTGACTCGTTCTGGAATTTTTACAAGAACCAGCAGAAAGAATTCAAGTGAAAGCTCTTTTCTGTAGCTCCAAGCATGGTGTTGAAATATTGAGTGAAGAAAGATAATTAAGGGATTAGATGTAATTAAAAGCACTGAAAATGTAGAATGTTATATGCTAGTAATGCTACACATTTACATGTCTGTGTGGGCTAATACATTTTATGCTTCAGAGAAATTAGCCAGATCTGACATTCTTCTACCATGCTTCTCTTTTAGAAGGAAAAGTGCTTTCAATTTGATCTGTTTAGCATAGGAAAAGAACATGCTTCAAATCATAACTGAGAAATGAAGAACAGAGTAGTTGAAAGCTAAATTACCTGAGCTAGAAGGAGGAAACCATATTTTGGTAAGGAGCAAAACCAAACCAAACCAGAAAGAGAGGGGCGGGGGAGAGAGAGGTGTGGGTGGGGGAGGGAGAGAGAGGGAGGAGTGTCAGGTGCAGCAACATTTTGAGATCACTTAGGCCAGCCTTGTGGTTTTGGAGAAGACTGATGAATTCAGTAACAGAGCTGTTCACGTGCCAGATTTTGCTGGGAAGTGAACACCTGCCAGGCTAGTCCAGATAAATCAGCTGCTCAGAGCATTTTCCCAGGCTCCCAGGTGAATGGTCTTTAATAGCCGTGGGAGACAGCTTTCTACTATTATATGCTGTGCCACAGACTCTTACTGGAAGACTTACAGATGCTCAAGTCAACTTAACTGTTAGGTGTTTGGGGTAAATCTGTGTGGCAGGGTAGCTTAACAAGGAAAGCTGACATGACACTTCCTCTCCAACAGCCTTGCCCAGCCTGGTGCCTGGAAGATCCCGTGTGGTGAAGTGGTTAAGAGCATGGGTCTGGGACCCAGATGGTTTGGGCTCTAGGCTCCGCTCAGCCATGGGGCCAGCTGGGTGACTTTGGGCCAGCCACAGACTCTCAGCCCAACCTGCCTCGCAGGGTTGTTGCTGTGGGCATAAGATGGAGAACAGGAGGGAGCAAACAGTGCAAGCTGCTTTGAGTTCTTAAGATCAAATAGATGGGATATAAATAAAATAAATAAAAGAGGTGTGGGAGCTGCAGCATTCCCAGCCAGAGTGGCGTTGGTTATGCTGGCCAGGAAGGATGCGAGTTGTGGTCAAGTGTCAGATTGAGGAAGAGGACTTTAAACCCTGGGACTGTAAAAAAAAGAGCGAGTTAAATGATTGCTTCCTTCAAACTCCTCCATTTACAACATGGTGCTTAACCCAACACATTGCAACTTCTGTTCCATTTTAAAGGATCTTGCTGATTTGCTTATTTTTACGGGTTGTTACTGGAGACCTCTCCATTTCAGGCTGGATTTCTCAATTGTGAGCAAGCAACATTATTTTAATTGAAATACACACTGTTTCCCTTCTATTACAAAGTTGCAATTACTGACTCTTTCCGCACCTGCTGTTCAACTCTAGAAATGCAGCTTTGAATTGTTTAGTGCAGGAGTGTCCAACCTTCTGGCTTCTCTGGGCTGCATTGGAAGAAAAAAAATTGTCTTGGGCCACACATTAAATACACAAACACTAACAAAAGCTGATAAGCAAAAAACAAAAGTCTGAGCATAATTTTAATGATATCTGCCACCAGAGATATGCAAAAAAGTCCTCACATAATCCTAATTATCGCTTGGAAGATAACACACTGGAAGCCACACACAGCTGTAAAACTGAAGCCACACATGTGTACTAATAGTGAGAGCATAGGTATGTTTATTTTACTTGACATTGCGACACAACATTGTTGTCTGCAAAGTACACACTGGAGAAATGTGTGATCGAGTTACCCAAAAAATTGCAAAAAATCTCATAATGTTTTAAGTAAGTTTACGATTTTGTGTTGGGCCACATTCATAGCCATCCCAGGCCGCGGGTTGGGCACCCCTGGTTTAGTGTCTTGGGCTACCTTAAAGACCCACCCATTGATTGTGGCATGCCCTTTGGCTGCTCGGTCAAATGCACGAAGCACATCCGACTCAATAGCACTTCAGCCATAATAAATGGATCAGTCCCCCATACCCCAAACTGGTGCCCTCCAGATGTTTGAACTCATGCTCCCAGCTGTTTTGGACTAACGCTTCCAGGATACCTGATCCTTGGGTGTGCTAGTAGGGACTGAGGAGAGTCAAAACCCAAAGCAACTGGAGGTTGGCAGGTTGGGGAAGGCTGGGTTAGTTTTTTAAGGTGCCCCCAGACTGTACTTGCTGCTGAAGAGTTACGCAGGTGCCCCTTGGACTGAACTGTCTGCCATTGCCAGTCTGCACTGGGGGTCTTCCCAGTTAAAGCATGAAGCACACAGAATATGTAGGGTGAGGCTGTTGATCTGCCTCTGTCTCGCTTTCTAATCTCTAACCACAAGGGTGTGAATTGAGTGATGAAGGCCTTCGTCTGTGGTTGTCATTTCTGAGGCACTTTTCCAAGTGAAATTTGTATCATTTGAATGAGCTCCAACTCCCAGAGGAAGCTGTATTTTATACGATGCAGTTCATATACTTTCCTCTCAAGTCTGCATGCAGTGATGAAGAACTTGGCTTTCTGGAAACTTTTAATAACAATCTCTCTGTTTGTTTTTATTAACCTTCTTCATGTTAGCTATCTAACAAGTGCCAAGTGATCACAAAGGTGGCTAAGGAAAAAAAGGCTGCAGCAAGATGGAAGAAGATTCCTAAATTCCCGAATTCATACTGGGAGGGGGAAAAGTATTTCTGATTACAGGATGGGCACCTTGGATGAATTCTTTGACACAATACAAATAGGCCTGAACTTAAGAGATGTCTGTGATGTCATTACCATGCTTGCCTGGGACATGTTTCTCTCTGAAAATCTGTAAATGACTTCTCCGTATTGAAAGAATCTGTGAATGACAAGTGGAAAGGTAGCTCAGCTGTGCTGGGAGAAACCACTTTGTGCTGTCCGTTCAGTCGAGCTGACCCAGAAATTAGTGGTTTTTCTAAATGCACAGGAGCACAGCCTACGTTACTACAGATTGTTTCAGCAAGAGAGTGGCGTGTCCCCATCGTGTGGTCAGAGGAGCAACAGAGACACGATCGACATTTTTCCCAGAAATTGAGCTTTATTGGGAGGGCTAAGTATTAAATGTGTGAAGAACGTTCCTGTGGGAGTGAGAGGAGGAAGCGTAGTGGGAGGTCTGCCAGCCACAGTGGCTACATGGAGATGGCTTGACTCCTCAAGTAGGGAATACCAGTGGGAGTGGAAAAGCTTGTGAGAGAAGGGAGAGTGACCCAGCCTCTTCCATAATGCTCTGTTCATACATGGGAGGCAGCAAAGTGGGGATGCTTCATGTCAGAGTAAATCCACAAACAGGGTAGAAAGGAGAGTCTATCCTTGCTTGTGGCTCAGCTTTACCAGGCACAGTCTACTGGGTGTGCAGAAAAGAGCACTCAAAGTCAGACTTGTTTATCTCCATCAGACCCTTTTCTGGAATTCACTGAAGTAGGGTTTCCAAGGTTCAAAAGCAGGCGCCTAGCCAGGAACTCCCAAACCTGTGCGTGTGTGTTCCACTCCTGTGTTCTGGAGCCTTGTCAACTTCACAGGTTCTGAAGCAGTGCTAGCATTTCATTATAAGGCCTCCGAAAAGAGTAGGGTGGTTTTTGGGTGCACCAACGAAAGGCTCCTGTCTTTTTCCTGCTGAACAAAGGGGAATTGAGGCTTCTTCCAATGAAGCTGAAGTGCTTCTTCACAAGGACACTTGAAATCTCCAGGTTCTGCACAGCTCATCAAGAGGAAATCTAGTGTGGCTCTGATTATATCAGGAACCGGAGGAAAACAGTCCATGCCCAGTGCTTTCTGCCTGCAGTGGTTGTTTTAGTTGAAGTTCTTTTTAATAGTTTATTTCAAATAGTTGTTTTTAATATTTATTTGTAAATTGCTTGGAGTTTTATTATGTTAAGTGGCTTATAAGTGCTACTAATAAATAACAGGGCAGAAAAGGAGCTACAGTGGAACAGACTGAAGGCCTACCTAATCAAGGACCAACTGAATGGCACTGGGGAGCCCCCTCCCAGCTATGTTCCCCAGCAACTGGTTTGCATGGGCATACTGGAGGTAATATGTAACCTTCGGGAATAGCAGCCATTGATTATGCGATTCTCTATGAATCTGTCTATCCCTTTTAAGCCCATGCAGTTGGTGGCAGCAAACGCTATCCTTTAACTATGTGCTGTGTAAGCAAGTTCTTTTTAATATGCCTTAAATCTACCAGGTGTGTCAGCTTAGTTTTGCTCATCTGGGTTCTAGTCCCCGCTCAGCCATGGAGCCAACTGGGTGACTTTGGGCCAGTCACAGACTCTCAGCCCAGCCTACCTCACAGGGTTGTTGTTGTGGGGATAAGATGGAGGAGGAGAATGCTGTAAGCTGCCTTGAGCCCTTTGTAGGAAAAAGGCAGGATATAAATTGAAAATAATAATAATAATAATAATAATAATAATAATAATAATAATAATTAAATGCAAAGGAAGAAAGAACATTATTAATGTGCTCCCCTTTTCTCAGTGCCTTCATGAGGTCTAGCCCATTTCTGAAAAATGATAGGGAATTAACTATCTTCTTCTGTTTTGATTTAATTCAGGCCAGTTTTGGTGGGCGTGGAGTATTCAGCTGTGTGGTGTAGGTTTTATCTACCTGGTGTGTGCTAAATGCCTAGACTTTTGGTGCTTAATTCAAATGCACATCCTGATAAACCGTGTTGCTTGGATGAGAGTATCAAAGCTGACATAAACATGTCCCACTTTTACATTGCAGCCAGTGACTTTCACATTTCAGCCTACTTCGTCAGAAGATGGGTGAATCTGCGATGCATCGGGGGACAGCAGAACAGTGGTAAGTGACTGGAGTTTTCCATTGCATTCTGGAGAAAATGGGTGAAATCAGCAGGTCTTGCTAGGAAGCTGCTGCGTGCTGAGGCAGAATGTGGCCCATCCAACCTGGCACCATCAGTGTGGACGGGCAGTGGTCCTCCAGGATTTCAGGCAGGAGTTCTGCCAGCCCCAGCTGGTGTCCCTTGGATTGGGCCTGGAACCTCCTGCATGCAGTGCGTTTGCTGTACCCCTGGGCCTTCCCATAATGGCCCTGGTCCAGGGATGTTCTTGAGCAGAAAAGGTGCAGGACGGAATTCAGAAAATGGGAGGTCTCCTAAGGGGATGCTGCCTGTATGGAGATGATCCCCATCACCACTGCAAATGGGAGTGGCATTGTTCCCACAGGGACCGGTTTGCCCTGAGGCTGCAGAGCTGCAGGGCAAGGGAGCTCGGGCTTCTGGAAGGTGGCAGGCCCCTGCCTTCCAGGAAGAGCATCATGGCCAGGGCAAGAAGGAGCGGCTGAGGGAGCCTGCGTCCCTCTGCTCTGCCAGAAGGTGCTCTCTGCTCCACTGACCAGTTGTCCCAAGACTGCAAAGCATCTTCTGGGGGAAGCATCTTCTGGCCCTTTCTGTCAGCCAGGAGACTAAAAGTGGCCAGGCTATGATTTCTCAACAGGAGTGTTATTGTTACTCTTACATTGCATTTATATTCTGCCTTTTTCCTTCTTGCAAGGATCAAGATATTTATTGCAAGGGTAAATTATAACCAGTTGCAAGATATTACAAGGATATATTATAATCAGTTGTAGGACAGCTTGAGAACCAACTGATCCAAAGATAGTAGATGCATCTTCTAAATAAATAAATCAAACACATGTTTTGAATTGAAGGAGATCCCATGAAAAGCAACACGTGCCCAACCCTTCGTGCAGCTCCTTTGTGCAGGAATTTCTAGATCAGGTACATGGCATGTCCCAGTGCTAGAAGAAGAGCTTGTTCCACCTCTGCAGCACCAGGTGATGCTCTGAGGATCTGATTCAGAGGGGGCAGTCCACACCCAGAGAGGTAATTGTTTCCATTTGCTGGACCAACCTGTCTGCTGGATTGGGACAAGCATTTGTGCTCTGATCTGATCTTGCTATAGCTGCTTTGTCGTCAGGTATTCCCTAACATTAATTTTGGCGATGAGTGTTTTAAACTGCAGTTATAGTAATTGGCGGGCCGTACCACATTTCTGCAATGGCACGACTCAGCATTTTATCACATCTCTTCCTCGGGAACCAGCAGAAGTTGCCCTGTGAGTCAGGCTCGTTGTCAAAGGGTAGGACGAGCATATGCAAGAAGCTCGCTGTTGCTCAGCCAGCCTCTGTCAAGCTGCACTGAGGTGACGCCGTTGGAGCTGATCTCGTCTCATGCTTTCCCGAGCCAAGGGGCTCCTGGGGGATGTGACTTCAAATCTCATTTCTGCCAGGAATAGCCAAGTATAAGTTTTAGGCTGAAAACCTGCTTGAATCATGTGCATCTTTAACTGAATGTTAAAATCTTGTAGAACATGGGTTCATTCTGGTAGATCTGCAACCCTTCCTGTGGTATCAGTGTTTAAAATACATCCATCTACTTTTATCCATTTTTTTTAAGATAAAGAGTTGGCAGAAGGACCAGTGGATCTGCTGGTCAGCCTCTTGGGTGCCTCGCAGTAAATCCACAAGGGTGTCTGACGCGCCATTGTTTAACAATAGCAGCAACAGAATGAATACTGCTGACATGAATAATGCCTGATTCCTCTGCAGATGCAGTGCGAGCTCTACTGAGTTCTGGTACTCGGGACAGAATCTAAGGCTCATAATCTTCACACACACAAAACCATCGCACATACAAACCTGTGCAAGACCACCGTCCCAGTTCAGAGGCCCTTCTTGTTGTGATGAAATGGAAAGGCTGAGAATCTTTCCTACCAGCTTTGGCTCCTCAAAGGAAAAGGCAGGATATCAAAGTAACAAATAATATATTTTTTTTAAAAATCACATGAATTGCATTCACATAATTAACACCACATCTAGTTTGGCCCTTAAGAATCCTGGTTTACTGCTACATGTTATGGTACAGATTAAAGAACAATCAGGCAGGTACAAAGGAACAGTTCTGCAGGGTTTTCTTGAGAGTGTTTCTAGTCTAGTGGCTTCCTGCACTCTAGGAAACTGGGTTTGTTTATGCCCTGTGCTTTTGTGTGTGGCAGACCATGAGTGTTTTGTCAGTTCCAGCCCTTGACTTCAGCGTATTTTGCGAGGACTTACACAGATGGAGTGCTCTCGCCCATCAAAGGAGGGAGGAGTGAATGAAGAAGGAAGCATGATGTAGACTGAAAAAACAAAATGTAGGGTGTTCGAAAACATAAAACATAATCAGGCGGTTTAGAGAGTGCCCCTAAACGTGTCATCAGGATGAAGAGGGGGAAAAACACACCCATGCCTCTCCTCTCTTATTTTACCCAGAGTTGTGTGTATTTCCGGATCGCTGTGTGATTTGTGTCACAAGACTTGAGTCTAGTCCACCTCTTTGGGTCAGTGAAAGTGTGGCAACGGTATGTATGAAACAGTATTAGCAAATACCATATTTTATTGTGCGCTGCTTAGAAACGTGGGTGGCTTTATATAGACCTTTGCCATTCATGGATTCTTGGCACGTGCACGGGATGGAAAATGTTACATAAATACTTGGGCCAAGATGTTGAAAACTTGGAGTCAAAAATTGTTCTTTGAATTCACTAGCTACACACACCCAAGCAGAGAAGCTGATGAGAGATTCTGATTGTTCCTTAAGGTGCAGAACAAGGGGACCATACACCTCCCCCCCACCCCAATTTGCATACTCTGCAAATCTTTTCAAGTTTTGGTGAGGAAAACCCTTTTTTTCTGGTGCGTGTGTTTGAAATGTTGTTAGTACATTGGTTAGGGTTAACCCTAACCCTACTGTGGGTTAATTAGCAACCTCTCTAGCCTGGGTGTGAGCTACTGTCTCTGTTTTTGTTAAATCCCCACATTACCAAGCAGTGTAGAGGGAAAATAGGGGGTGTGTATTTTCTTTTGAAACTTCTATAAAAACAATAGCAATTTCTCAATGCAAGTGAATTACTGGTGTGGAGGGGGGTTAAGTTAAATGGCCTAAAGTGAGAATCTGCCGGTTCTGCCATTTCTTTCAGCAGAGGCAGCATTACATTCAGAGAGCCTTTCTTATCTCCCCAAGTTTTCTACTGTTTTCTTGTCTCCCAAGTTTCATCTGTTTTGCCCCCTCATCTTTTTCTGCCCTGACAGTCCACTGGTTGTTTTTCCACCCCATTCAGCTTTTAATATCCAGTTGACCAAAACCTTCCAACAAAATCTTCCCCATCCATGCTTTTGACATGAGAACTTTTGTCTCCCTTGTCATGGCCTTTGCAGAGTACAGCAGCCATCTTGTCTGCCTTTAAGGAATTCAAATATTTCTGTGTGGGGAACATTTAATGGAATCTTCTGAAAATGTTGGAGAAGCTCCTGCTCTTAAGTGATCACCAGGCAGCCTCAGTTCAGCTTCTGTAAACTCTAATTTAGAAGGTCTTCCTTGCCTGGAACTTTGAAAAGCCACTGCCAATCGGATACTCTCCTAGAATGTCTGATTCACAATAGGGCAACTTTATATTCCCTAGGGAACAAATACCATCTCTGCTTTGAGAGTGCTGCAGTTTCTGGCTCTTTCTTGTTTTATGAATTCTTCAGCTTAGTATCACTGATTTCCTCAGTATGTTAACAATGCTGTCTAAGGCAGGGCAGGGGTAGTCAGCAATCCATGACTAAGATCTCTCCTTCACAGTAAATCCTCCCGTGGTTCTTGTGATCTTGTGCATGCATGTGCTGCCAAAATTTGGAACAAGGGGATAACTCACTAAGGTATTTTCCAGGGAGCAGGAATGTAGGTGGTGTCCTAACCCTTTGGCTGAGGTCTGAATGCCTTGCATCCATCCATTGCTCATACTGCCTGGCCCTGATCTAGTGGCTGCAGGGGGGAACTGCAATTCTTCAATGTCCTACAAGAGCAGCTCTAATTTTCTTTTATTTTGTACATACCTGTGGGATGGGAAAGGACATGCAGCCTCTTGCACACTCAATCTGTGCGTGCTCAGTCTTCCTGGTTCTTTGAAGTAGAATTGGTGTCCACCTGGTGCCTCCTCAATGATTCTGATTTGTGAGAAGCCGCTTCTTTTGCACATGTTTTGGCTGAGCAGCCTGCTAATTTAAATAAATCCATATGCTGATCTGGTATGCTAAATACCTGAAAACATGTACATGGACACACCTCCCCATTTGAACATCTCTGGGCAGTCATTTTATTCCAGTGAGCCAGAGTGACTTGGACTGGGGAACTGGGAGATCCAGGTTCGAGTCCCTGCTCAGCATGAATCTCACTGGGTGACTCTGGGCCAGTCACAGACTCTCAGCCCAACCCACCTTACAGGGCTGTTGTTGTGAGGATAAAAATGGAGTGGAGGGGAATGATGTAAGCTCCCTTGGGTTCCTCACAAGAGGAGCGTATATAGGTAATGTAACAATAATGTAAAAAACAGGGGAAGTACTCATGAAACTGACAAGATTCCTTTAAATATATCTTAAAGCTGCCATCTTTTAAAATAGATCTCACCCCCCATTTGCAATAGCACCAACGCTACTGTTGCCTTTATGTAAATATCTGGGAGGGTAAAACCAGCCTTATCTCAGGGCAAGGTGAAGACAGGAGGCAAATGAGGAGCATTGACATAAGGTGCAAATACAGTACAAGGAAGCAGAGGAGGAGGAGGAGCATTGACGTGGGTGATGCCAAAATATGCAAAACCGTAGGATGCTGGAGGAAGTGGGGGAATGAGCCATCCAGAGGTGCTGTGGCACACTTGGGCGGAATACAAATATAGTCTCCACTTATAAATAAATAAGTGGAGAAGCCAATCCTGGAACTGGCCTGTGGCAGCAGGGGGCATCTCTTGCACCTGGAGACTGTAAGGACCAACTCCCTTTTACCCGTTGAGGGAAATAGACAGGAGTATGTGAACTTGGTTCTTCCCTGCTAGAGAACCAAACCAAACCAAATTCAGCTTTGCTGTCTGCTCTTCATGCTCTTGAGCAGGGCTGCTGGAACCCGGCTGGGGGGTCATCCCAAGGGCCTCTGTATACCGGCCTCCCCGCTCTGACACACCAGCCTCGAACACCATCAATAACTGTTACGAAGTGGCCCTCCATCATTAATAGCAAAAATCACAGTGTTCATGGCATCTATAAAAGTTGAGGCTGGAATGAAAGCGTGACAAATGAGTGTCAAAACCAAAAAAGACATCTGTGAACAAGCAGCAAGAATTCTCTCACTCTGGGAGTCTAGGAACTCTCTTCTTTACTACATCTGCTCACAGAGCTTTGCCATCATTCCAAGGCAGAGTCGTATGGGACAATCACAGCGGTTCTTCAATGGAAGGCAGCAGATAAGTGTTCCAAATTCTGATAGTATGTGTCTGATAATGTATTGTAAGCCACCTAGGAAGGCCTCAGCAGTTATAGGCAGCCTATAAATACATGTATAAATAAATACTGAGAGCCGTTTGTCCCCAGTGATAGCTGGAAATCATTTCTTTCCACTTCTTCTAGACAATAGTGGCATTGCACCAGTGGCTATTATGAGCTATCTTCTCTCCTTACACCAGACTAAGGACATATTTAGCAAAATCCAATGGTAAAGCTTTTCCTGGACTGTACTACTTCAGGCTGCAGGTATTCACATTGCTTCTTTAATACTCCCTCCCTTCCAGAATTTTTTTTTTTTTCTCCACACAAAAGTATTCAGGCCAGCTGACTTACTGATGTGGTGTTTTGCATTGCTCAGGAAATTCATATAAGCACCTTCCTCACCTGCCATCTGTAATGGTACAGTCCAGGAGTAGCTTTACCATTTCATTTTGCTTAATAACTGGCTCTTAAAATAGCAATAAATGTGTGGGAAGTTGAAATTACACATGCCTAGATTGATATTGTGTACAATTCTGAGGCACAAAGAAAGACGACAATTTATTTGGAAATAATTATGTACCAAATATATAGCTGAGACCCTCAAGGTATGAAAATAAAAGTTTTCAGCTTTCCCAAGAAAGCTGTTCTGTATAGTGTTGAAATGATGGTGATAGGCTGGGAGAATGAGGAAGTCTGACTGAAGCAAGGACACTCTGGGGGCACCACACCCAGACCCAGGTTAGGAAATAACTTCTGAGAAAGAAATGGTAAATTTTCTCTGTCTGTAGCCATGACTGACATGTATCTGTCCCTAAGGCAGGAGTAATTAAGCAATGGTGTGTTCTGATCCAGCTTTTGGAGGATGGGTCCCCAGAAAGAAAAGCGTCTTCCTGTTGCCCAGTTTATATAGAGAGGTGGTTACTTAAGTTACTTAAATTAAACCCCAAATCCCTGTTTGTTGTTCAAAGATGTCAAGACAATGAAAAGGGAATAATAATCCCTATGAAATTAGATTGTGTTACTTATTTCTAGTGTCTGATGGCATGTTAGTTTGGTTTGAAACCTGGCGCGTGTATGTTTAGATTTGCTGTGATAATGCATCTCTCTCGCCCTGACAAGTCTTCTCATTATCACCACTTTATAAATCCGCTGTGAATTACGAGTTTACCTGAAGTTTCTTCCTTTCTCTTTAACCATGAAAAAGTGTGTATGAACTTACCTTAAATAGTCTTCTTTCAGAAGACAGAAAGAGGATGAGAGGAGAGGGCTGTGCATCACTGGAAAGAAAGCGTCTGTAGGAACTTTTGCTGTGTGCCTGCAGACTCTGTTATTCAGAAGCCACGCAAAGAGAATCAAGCACTTTTTATTCTAAAGTGTATCAAATGCATTTGAGGCAAGGAAAAGGACAATTCAGATCACGATGATTTTATATTCTTTAGAAGTGATCCGATATTGCCGCTCGTGTGACTGATGTTGTTTGCCTGGGTAGTTGCATCACTGTACATACTCGTACACTGAAGTGTTAGCATGAATCAGGCTATTTTTCTTCAGAGATGTCAAGGAAATATGTGTTTGCGCGTGGAATATTAATAGAGCCTTGGCACTCTAGGAGAACATAGTCCTGTCCTGACTTATTCTTGCTTTTCTACCCAAAAACATCATCACATCTTCAGTCCAGGTGGTGTTACAAAATAAACTTTTTGACTTAGTCTGTGTGTGATGCCAGATTTTGTGCTGCTTAACCCACAAATTGGCAATGGTGAGTGATTCATCGTTGCATTAATTCTGGGTTGTTTAGGGGTTAATTCAGGTTCAGACATCATGCTGACAACCACAAACAGGGTGATTGTAGGCTTTTAAGTGAAAGTGAGGCCATACACTCACTCATTCCTGCTTGTGCCCAACAACCCATGGTTTGAACAACCCATGGATTTTCCTTACATATGAACCAAGCCATTAAAAAGGAGTATGCTCTTAGATTGAGTAGCACTAGATCTAGCATAAAGATGCTAAATGTTGAGGGTTGATTCTGGGGTTTCTTAATTCCTCGGGTTCAGTG